CACACACACACACACACACACACACACACACACACACAAGCAAAAAACATTATCATCCACCTTCCGGCAGCAAGCAAAAGTTAATGTTTGATTTGAGCTGTATTGTGGGGAATTTAAGGCTCCAGAAAGTGGATGGTCCCACTTGAATATTTATTTAAAGCTAAAATTTGTTTTGCAGCACTTTCTTTTTTTTAATGTGCTGAATTGAGCAGGAGGTTTTAACAAAAACAACAAAAAATGTTTTATTTTTTTTCCTTTGAACACAACCATTAGAGTCAGTTGAGGATTTGGCCGACATCATTTGTGACTGTGTGTTTAAAATCTGCCTGATTTGACTCAATGTTGCTGCCATTGAGAACGCTGCGCTGTCTGCTGTGTATGTGTGTGTGTGCGTGTGTGATAGCAGTGTGACCCGCTGGCAGACAGATTGTTAGAAGCTGCCCTGTGATTAAACCTGTCTTAATCTGTAACAGACACACATTTTAGTATTCGGAAGGCAAACAGCACAGGTTTAAACCGATACAATATATATAAATATACAAAATTAAATCAGAATTTGGCTGAATTTAAGGCACAGTCACAAAGACAAGTGGCAATTTAAAACACTGTTACTGCTGGATGGTAAAACATCATTGAAAATCATCCAAATTATATACATTCATCACCTATAGAAGGAAGAAGGGGAGATGTCATGCAAAATCCACTTTTTTTAACCTTTACATGCATTTTCTATGTACTTGGAGTCTCTAGGAGTGCAGAAAATTTGACATTAGTCCCTCCTGATGCTGATTAGATATCTTTATATTCTGTTTGGGTTCAGTTTTATCTATTTTCTAACCAGTACGTTACAGTATTTGCGATGGAACTTACCAAATGCAGTTTGGTGGTCTTCATTCTCCTCTGGTCCTGGATCAGACTCTGGCTCCAACATGCAAGGCTTCTGTTGTTGACATCTTTTGATTTCTAAATAAAATAAATAAGTAAATGAAAAGTTTCTGTGCCACTATATAATTGTATTTCTTTTATCAAACTAGAATGGACCAGTCTGGAAGCTGAAGGGGGGCGGGGTGTGAAGCACCTCATTTGGATTTAAAGAAACAGCCTCAAAATGAGTTGATCTGAGAAACACCTCACAAAATTGGTGAAAGAGGGGATGTGGAGTTACAATAAGGAGGAATTCAGACCAAAACATTGCAGTTCCACTTTATACAGACCCCAACTGAATGATTTAAATGTGAAAAAGAAGAATTTATGATATGGCTCCTTAAACAGGCGGTTTGTCTTATGGGGAAATAGAAATTTTCATTCAATATTTAATCGGTTTAAGTTAGCAGTTTAGCCACATAAATTTAATGTATAAAGTGAACATTATACTTGCAGATTTTGCAGAAAGTTTAAGCGAAGCCTCTTGATTTCCCACATGCTGTTCAGGACCAGCTGGACTTTCTCTGTGGATTAAAACAAACATTCAGTTTGATGGTAACATGTTCTACTTTATGTCTTATAATCTTTCACAGTTTTGCTTTTTTTCACAACTTATGAAAGCTTATTTTTTTGATTAGGCAAATAAGCATTTTGGAGCAGTTATGTCTTTTTCACTGTGAGCAAAATGTTTACTTGTTTTTAATTTCTGGAATTTAAGATAAAACATCTACAATCTTTATGTCTGCTCTTGTATGGATTATTTTTGAGTTTCAAACTGAGAAAACAACCAACAGTGAGAATATTATTTTATAATATATGTTTATTATAACTAACATATAAAGAGAGGTATAGGTAAAGGGACGTTTTTACATTTTTTTCCCTGTTTTAAAAAAGACAGAGCTAAATTTTGTGAACAGCTATAGGTTTGAGAGTGAAATAGTGCTTGAAGAAAACAAGAAAAATTCTCTTACAGCCTTTAGGTGTAAAAAGATGGAATAAAGAAAGGAGACTCTGTCCCTCCGCAGACAAAATCAAACCGCATCTCCATCTTTAAAAGACAGAAACAACAACGAGAGTTAAACTTCAGATGCCCTTCAGCGACCGGCAGGATTATGAAGTCATGTTCGTTTCTGCGCTTTAGCCTTTGGTACGACTGAAACTGGGTCAGACCTGTCTGTCAGTCACAAAACATCTCTCAGATTGACAWCTATATCTCTGTGTCTGCCTGTTTTCTGCACCTCCGCCACAGCCGTGCACAGTCTCGCCTGCAGACAATGTGCAGATGCAATTACAGATATTCCAGGATGTTATTTATTTTTCATACCTCTAAAAGATGCCTTTGATAAATAATGCTGTAAATAGCTTTGAATAATCCTTTAGTTAGATTTGTGTGCCGTAACCTTGCCATTTTAAAGTGGGGTTATTAAGAAAATAAATCTCATTTTCCTTACATATCCATTTGAGGTTTTAAAGTGGACTGGAGTTCAAAAATCAAGCTGAGTATTGTGGCGACTTTAGCCTTCACACCAACCTGCTAAATCTGCTTTTAAGGTGAGGTCGAGCGTGTGAGCGTGTGTTAAAGAGGAAAGGTGAAGATTAAGGTGAGAAAAAGGAAAGGAGGGGAAAAATTGATGGGAGACAGAAATAGTTTTGCGAGGAAAAAAGAGGAAAAAAAGGAGGCCTTGGCTTTTATCTGAGGAGATTTAACAAGCTTCAAGTAGAAAATTACAGTGAGAAAAAAAACAACAAATAAATAGAATGACCAAGCTGAGGGGAAAAGGCATTGTAAAGGTAAAGGTGAAGTGGAAGAAAGAGGAACAAATGTTTAAAGCTAAGTGGAAGGAAAAGACTAAATGTGACGCAAAGTGAGACATTTCAAGGGGAATAATATGAAGTCGGCAGATGCAATGGATACTAGGAAGGGTGTGTCACCTCACTAATGACCGTAAATTAACGTACCCAGTGGCATTTCCCAGAAGGCATTGTGTTTAGACTTCCTGGTGCTGATAAAAGAGGAGTGGATGCTGACTGCTGAAGGAGGAGGAAATGCTGTTTTTTAAAAAATTCCCTTGTAGGGAAAACGCCAGAATCCACCGAGAAGCAATTACGTGCAAATGTGTTGGGTATACTCATCGCTCGGGTATTGTTGTAAATGTGACACGATGAATGAAATGAGAAAGAAATTACGGAAAATTGGAACCTGCAGCCTCCGGATTGTGAGACCCTGGTACTGACTAATGTGTGGATCGATGCTGAAATATTGATACCACCRATACCAAAATGTAATGCTTTAAAAYCAATTCTAAATTTTAAAAATCCGTTTGTTGGTACTACAGTTGTTTCAGGGTAACTGGAACACAGTGGAAACCAGCTAAACTATCAAAATCTTGTCCAAATCATGCACAGTTAGTGAGAACTACTTTTTCTTCTGCCTGAGCAGTTCAGCTCACAAATAGGATGCAAAGCTTCAAGGTTATAGTGGTTCTAGACAATGAAACAATAATTTATTTAAWGGTTTTAGATTTTAATTACTTTTTTAAAATGCTATTTTTCACATATTTTGTAAGATTGTGTCCTTCGGTTTCACTGTTGTTTTGGCTCGGCTATTGTAAATGAGGATTTTACTTCTGAGAAGCTATGATTTGAAATACACGACTTTATTTAGATTTACAAGACACATTAGGTGTATAGTATTTGAACARTATCAGTATCAGATCAGTTTTGCCAGCACCAGCCTGAGTTTTAGTTGGTATCAGAATCATAAAGGAAATTGGTGGTATCGAACATCACAACTGAGCTACTACGAGATTCATTTTGAATTAACAAAAAAATAAGAAGAAGAAAACAAAACAAGATTTTAAGTGTTTGGTGTTAAGAAATGCTGTTACAGACAATCTGAAAGTATATATAAAGTGCCACAGGAGTTATATTGGTGTAGCTTTATGTGTAAAATGATAA